TATGAATATAGCCTAGCTAAGATCATAAAAATCTGTAGCAATTCACCATCCACACATGTATTTGTTGGTTCATTCGGAGATTTGGTTCATTCAGAATTGCTATAGCCTCATATTCACTGATAATAGTTTACTTTTTAACAACACACAAGTCATTTTCTCAATGCCAGTGAGTATGCTTTTCTGAGACTGACCTAATTTTGATCGTAAATGTTACAAAAAGGAAGTGTTAGTCATACATTTCACTGGGTAAAAGTACCCCTTATGTTCATGTGGGTTCTTTCTACTTGCAAATACTTAATATAAAAGCTTAGAAATAATGTATAACTCTTCTATAATAAATATGTCATATAATTTGAATGAATATAAATAATAAAGCCATTTGGATTACTTGATGCAGTGTTCAGTTGCAAGCATTATACACATTGTGCTTAATCTACATGACTAATTCTTTTTAAGAATACACTCACCTCTAACATGGCCCAAGTCAACCTCTACCTTTTGTGAGTGTCAGTGTTAATGAATAACATTATGACCCAACACGTCTTTCCACAAAAGGGAGTTCACCCACTTACTTTTACATAATCGCCTAACTCTGCAGCACTTTGTTTCTATATTTTGTTTGCATATAGTTTTATAATACATATGGCTATGATATCAAATTAAAATTATTCTTTATAAGATCTGGAGGCATATTTTGTAGCCCAGCATGCCACAACCGGACACCATCTGAATCAACATACAATCTGTATAAACGCAGGAAGTCTGTTTTTTTTTTCTTTTGTTTTGTTTTCTCAGTGCCGTAATTGCTTCACAGACCTTCACAAACCAATAATGAGAATAACTGTGACTCATTAAATGGATATTGAAGGTTTTAATAAGGTGTTCTTGTCTAAAGCAGCAATGCCATGTCTGGGCTCTATAGCCACTTCAGCTGCCCAAAGACTAACTAAGCTGGCAGCAAGAAGCTTTCTGACTGACATGTAAAGTGACCAAGAATGGTTTGCTTTGTTCAACATCATGTTTAGGGGTGGGTAAATGTCACAACAATAACAGACCAGCATGCAACTGTACATCAATGATTCAAGATAAGCATGAAAGTTAAAGCAAATAATTGCTCGAGTATCTGGATTTAAAACACCAAGAAAAATCAGCTGGTTGGCAGAAGTTTATTCAATTAAAATTATGTCACTTATCTTAGTTCATCATGATTTCACAAACTTATAATCTTATACATTTATAATCCATGTAGCTCCCTACACTGTACAATGAATCTCTCTCTCAACTATCCCTTTAAATCTGTTTTTGATTTAAATTTGTCTGTGGTGACTTTTAAGTCCACACAGCAGCAGAATGTAGTCGTATACAGAACACACACACACACACACACACACACTTTCAGGATTTTCTGTGAACCAGACATGCCATAAACTTGCTAAACCTTCTCTGTTTTGTTACCATCCCCCTGCCAGAGGAAGGTACTTTCCAGCAGCCTTTAAAGATGCACAAAAAAAAACATGACAAAGGATTTTTGCATTTTTGCATTCACTTAACAGCAGGTTATTTTAGAGATGGGTGTTTATACATCTGTTCTCTATTGATGTTTATATTTCCCTTTCTTATGATCTGCTTTTGTAGTTTATTAGAGTTGTGTAAATCCAAAGTAGTTACATTATATCAAATTACAGTTCCCTCCAGACCAATTTGAGGATTAATGTGTTGGCCCATAGTGACAGAACAAATCACAATATTTATTTTTCTACCACAAGGCTAACACTTCCCTGTAGATTTATGTAACCCACCGCAGGCTTATATTTCACTGACAGTAGAAATGATGCACCTCCTCACAAATCAGCTGCAACAGTACTTGCAGTGTGAACCTCTCCAATCATTATGGGAGTGATGGTTGTGCCACGCGTTTGGAAGGTCAGACTAATGTCCGACAGAGGAGACAAGCTGTTTTTCTTTAACATCACTTTGCAAATGTAAAAACTGTCATCTTTTGAACTGAAATAGAGTTTATAGTGTACTGATAATAGTTTGTTTTCTTCTTCCCATGCCAAGCACACTGAGTCTGATTATATTGCTCCTGTCACTTCCTAATGTTTTATGTTTTAATGAACTTGCCGTCAAATAAAATTAATAACTTTATAAATAACTAAAAATAATTTATATAAATTAACTAAATATTTACTTTAACTTAGCAGTGCTGTATCTGACTTATAGATTTCACAACCAATGATAAGAACAACTGTGACTCATTAAAACAGATATTTAAGGTTTTGATCAGGTGTTCTTATCTAAGGCAATCCCATGTCTGATAAAAGAGCTGAATAAACAATCATAAATTAACCTTGTGCAGCAAGTCCTCTGACTGCCATGTAAAGTGACCAAGAACAGTTAGTTATCTCACTGTTGTGCACTTTGTCACCAGCCATTCACACCGGATCTGTTTGGTCAGAGCATGTCTCTCCATTTTTCAGTGCTTACAAGCAATACGATGCAATATTAAATCGGCTGACTGCGATGTCAGCATCTGTACTTTTATATTTACCCACATATGCTGCAGATATTCCCATTTTAGTGAGGTGCCTGATATTCCATTGTGTGAGAGGACATGTAACTAATAAATTGAGATCAGTTCTTGGGAATCCTTGCATAGGTTAGCAATGGGTCAGCCAAGATTGTCTTTTAGTTGCAGCAACTAAATACTGGATTTCAAAATGTTTGTAAATAATATGAAAAATGCTTGTCATTGGCAACTTCTATTGCTATTGCCTCCTCAGAGAAAATAATATATTAGTAAAAGAAATATCTTGGCCCATGGTTCTTGTAGTATATTTATTTATTTGATAATAGAAAAGTCTCTTCAGCATCACAGAGAACAACAAAAGATATTTTTGTGACTGAGAAATCTCTGTTTCTGTCTTAAAATCCAAAAGTTTGTGAATATAGTCCACGTGTGTCATTCTGTAGTATGTATTTCATTTAATTTTTTTGCTACTGGAAAACTACATCACCCCTGCACTGCACCTTTTGAGAGTTTCCATCATTCGACATAGTTCAGGTCATGAATGCTCTGCTGAGCTAAGAAAGGTGTGTCATCTGAGGGGTCGTTCACACAGAGCGCGCTTTCTTGCTTGTATATAGAGCATAAGAAGCAACACAGCAGAATGCTTTTTTAAAGTAACTTATTTTTAATAAAACCAGCTCAGTGGAGCACAAACCCTTTTTGTAAACAGGATGAAAAGATGCTGACACAGTTTGTCACACAGGGGCATCTTTTTACTTACAAGTTAGGTAGTCTAGTGAAGAAAATGATTTGAATCCTCAATAAAAATTAAAAAATCGAATTATTTGACACTGTCTAGTACTACTGGTCTTTAAACCATTTTGGTCCATTTCACCGGAAACGGGCCTCACAACAAAAGGGGCCCCCATATGTCCCTGTAAAAACGTCCCTGAGTTCTTGTTATATATACATACATATATATATATAGGCCTATATAAAACATGATATGGAACAAGCAAGGGGGATGTTTTTTCCCTGATTATCCTGACTGCAAATGTGATATTGATTGATAGCAGTTCAAACAAAAAGTTAATATAGGTGACACAATTTAGAGTCAAATTCAGTGTTGTCTTTTCTTGAATATTTAATCAAAGCAACATATTGTATTAGGCTACTAGGGGAGAGCGGGGCACAAAGTAACACTTTTTGACTTTCTCAGTTTGTGTAAATGCACATGGGGTTCAGAGTATAATTTTTTTATCCACAGTAATTTTACACTTATCTAGTACAAATATGTCGCTTTGTTTCATGATTACAGTGTATACGTTTTTCTTTATTTACCCTCAAAAAAATGGAAGTGAAATGTGACAACATGCCCCGTAGGTGGGGTACATTGTAACAGCTGAGGGGCACGTTGTAACATATAACAGCTTAAAATGTTATCTGATCGAATGAAAAAAAAATATACAAGACAAACTAAAATATTTTGTTAATAAAATAAAATAATTATTTTTTTCAAATAAAATAATGGCATTTTTTAATAATTAAAAATAATCTGATTTTGGAGTTTGACCATGAATACATTGCAATCATGCTTGGGACGGCCCATATAAACGAGCAAAAATGCTTTACATGTCTTGAAATAATAATTTCTAAACATTAAACATTGACTGTCAGTCTTTATTCACCTGTTTCTCGTTGTTTCTCATTAAAATTCATTAAAGTAAATAGTGTAAATTACATCGCTAATGTCATAGAATAGCACATTGTAACGCAGTGTTAGAACATGCCCCATCTGCGCAACTGGAGTTTAAAACTATAGTTGCTGTCTTCTGCTAGTTAGCGAAGCATTAAAAAAACGATCTAAACTGATAAATAACAGATTGGAGATTAAAATAATAGCAGATTTGTCTCATTTTAAATGATTAATAAAAACACAGATGAAAAATTTACTTAAGCCAGAATTTAATTGTACTATGGTAAAATAAATGTTCATTGATATCTTCAAAAGATTTTAGAATTTTGGCACACTTTTTTTTCTATATAATGTTGATATGGTAACTAATAAATACTGTAAATTTGGTTATGCTAGCATGTGTGGGAATATTCAAACCATGTGTGTTACAATTAACCCCGCGTTACTTTGTGCCCCGCGCTCCCCTAATTCCTGTTAAATTCCTTCTTACCCTATCTTGCCCTCGTTTATTAGGATACTTTGCTCTCAGGCCTGGTCATCACTCTTTCAAAAGTATTTGCCAGAGGAGAGTGACGATAAAAAGATAAAGAACCATCATTAGTAGGCTAAAGCTCAATGCAAGATAGAATGTATTTATAAATAGTTCCAAGTTCTGTTTGTTTGAAAGGGGCCTCCTAATTTTCATAAGGCAGTCAGTCCCAATATGCTTCACTCACGCTTCACGACACGCAGTGGGCGTTTCTTAATAAGAGAGCATGACACAGGTTTACACATTTCGCTCATTCAACCGCAGCCTCTCATATACATTATCATTATGCAGACCGGTCTGTTGTTTCTTGCGTTGTTCTCGTGCTTTTCTCTTATCGAGGGAAAGTCATTCGAAGGTAAGATTTTACATTTCCCATTTTAATTCCATATTGTTGTTAACGAAAATGCATTTATAACTATTATGACATGCACCGATAAGTGCCGCTAAAGAACGAAAACAGGCTAACGTTAGGCTATGAGCTATTTTTGACCGGAGTTATTCAAGTTCTCATATATGACGTGCCTTATAAAATTGACTTGTGCTAAAAAGAGCTCATTCCAATAAACAGTCTACTTGCATTTTGTCATATATATGAGACGTATGAGGTTAGCTCAATCCGAGTAGTTGCAATTTATTTTTAGTTGGCGCTAAACTCCAAAACCTGTTTTAAAACTGGGATTACGACAGATTTAATTAATTTGGTTAATTTCGCGGAGCAGGTCAAACGTGTGTTGGAATTCGGAGAGAAGATTCATCCTATACCTACCCGACGCTGTGGCCGTGAACGTGCAAGACCGCAACTGTGATGCAGAGTGGACCATTGATGCAAATATCAAAACCAGTTCCCATCTGTGAGGCCATTCTGCATTTTATTTTATTTTAACCCTAAATCTAATTAATAATTAATAGAGAAATTAAATGTCACCGCTTAGGGTACCATGGAAAGGCACTTCGTGGCCTTTTTGAATTTTATTTTCTCCCAAAACGCTAACCAAAACTCATTTTCTAAATTCCTGTTTGTTTGTTTGTTTTTTAATTTAAGAATTGATAGTATTTATGGTAAAATCCCCATGATAATGGTAAAAGTCCATGAAAAAACTCACTGTGGTCAAAATTGGCCACTAAAACACTACTGGCAAAGGTTTCATGTCATATGGTACATCCAAAAGTGCCTTAATATAATTGCCATCTAGATTATATCACTGTAACACCCCTAGTGGGTTTAATATGCTCTACTTTTTTGTGGTTTTTCTGATACTATTTGTCACTGATTGTTCAAACAAATTGTTTTGCCTTGTCTTTTACTAGAGGCATTAGCGAAAAGAAGCAAAATGTTCAATGTGTGAAAGTCTCACCATGTTTACTGTGTGTCTCACAATTCTCCACTAGCAATTCACAGCTATCCTGGATGGAAATGTAGCACACTTTTCTCATCCCTTCAAAAAAGTAACCCGTAATGGAATCAGTGTGTCTTACTGTCCATTTTCAGTCAGATTCCATGCCTCTTGTCCTGTGAGTTGTGGTTTTAACAATTATTCATCTTCTCAGAATAGTTTTACTGCTCTTTATTTTAAGGATTGTGTGTACTGTACAAATTTAATGCTTTTTGATTCTCTTGTAGAATTACACCAATGACTTCACATGTTCTTGTGAGTAGTATTTCACTTTGTATCGCTTTGCTTTTTGTTCTCCACATAACGAAGCTATACAACAACAAAAAAATAAAATAAATAACAATGGCATTCAATTCTGTTTTCATATCAGGCACCAATTCCACCAACATCTATCCAGTGTTTAGTACAACTCTGCCATCTGGAGGTATTAAACATGATTGACAATGTCATTACATTTTAAATTTGAATCATGTTAAATCCTGTTGCTTTTTTAACACTGGAATAAAATAACCTAAAACCTTTAGTCCAGTGTTGGATTAGAACACATAACCTAGATTTCTTTAGAGTGTACAGCAAATATGCCTTCAGGAAATGGTATATATTATGTGGTGATATTAGAGGGAGATTTTGCAAATGCATGTACTGACGTTTTTTAATATAACTGCATTTCCAGATTTATCTTCCTCTGCCATCAAAACTAATTCATCAGTGAGACAACACTGTAAGTATAGTCTGTAAAACATAGATAAATGACCAAATACTCAGCATTTGGAAAAAGTGATCAGGCAATAACCTTTTATTAGTAACTACTATGGTCTCATTGTTTAAAATGATAAATGGCAAAAATGTAGGGATACACTTTTATAGACATTGCCAATCAGTATGATCATGTTACCATCAAAATATACCTGCATAACAAGCTTATTGCAAATCACATGCACACTGTTTCTTACCAGACTTCACTGTCTTTGTTATGGTTGCAGTTCAGAAATTCCACACAAAACAGAAGAATAACAGTAGTAATAATTATCCTCATTTCGTTGTTGGTCGAGTTTATGAAACCGCAGACTGCAAAAATAATGCAAGCTCTCTCTCTAGTTTTGCTGAACCTCCCTGAAATTCCTATTTTGCAAGCCACTCCTAAAAAACAAATTCAACGTTTAAGTTTAGTGTCATAACTCAGTTGAGCAATCTCAAAGAGCAAACCGATCTAAACAACAAGATACACAACCAAAAACAACTGCACTAAACTGAATTCTCTTAGTAACCTTTTAAAAAATGTAAACAGGAAATAGATTCCTGATTGAGGAAGCAAGACTAGAGTTCTGGAGATAGGGGATGGAAAAACATTACTGCAAGTGGTGTTGTAACAGGGAGTTAGTGAAGTGAAACCATGTAAAATTTGTATTAAAAGAGAACACATGACCAGATGGACAGGCAGCAAATGACAGATCATTAGTATTATTAGTATAATTATCTTTAATATCATCTATATAATCTATTATTATCAGAATAGAACTATTAGTACTATTATTTTGGCATGTGAACATTAGAACTTTTACCTTGTAGTTAATATCGTGTATGCATTTTTCATAAAGCATTTATCTTAAAGCAAGTGTCATGACACCAGTGAATTTTTTTGTTGTATTGATATTTTGGTGAAATGTTCTTCTCTACAGATGGTTCCGTTGCTGTTGCTGCCACTTTTGTCATAACCCTTGTCATTTTGGCTTTCCTCTCTGTAGGGTATTTCAACATATTTAATTCATATTTATGTTATTTAATAAATATTGCCTATTGGCATATTAATGCCATATGCACAAAAACTAAAACACTATTTTCTATTTTCTAGCACAGCAAAATATGCTCCTGAGGACCAAAACCAGCCTGGTTCAGTAGAATGAGCCTGAGGAGGCAACTGTAATTGCCCTAGAAACAAGAACACATGGCGTGGAGTCATAACAACACATTATCCTATGTAACACATATTATATTATATTATATTATATTATATTATATTATATTATATTATATAGTCCAAAACTGGGATTTTTCACTGTATATTATATTATATTATATTATATTATATTATATTATATTATATAATATTATATTATATTATATAGTCCAAAACTGGGATTTTTCACTGTATATTATATTATATTATATTATATTATATAGTCCAAAACTGGGATTTTTCACTGTATATTATATTATATTATATTATATTATATAGTCCAAAACTGGGATTTTTCACTGTATATTATATTATATTATATTATATTATATAGTCCAAAACTGGGATTTTTCACTGTATATTATATTATATTATATTATATTATATAGTCCAAAACTGGGATTTTTCACTGTATATTATATTATATTATATTATATTATATAGTCCAAAACTGGGATTTTTCACTGTATATTATATTATATTATATTATATTATATAGTCCAAAACTGGGATTTTTCACTGTATATTATATTATATTATATTATATTATATAGTCCAAAACTGGGATTTTTCACTGTATATTATATTATATTATATTATATTATATAGTCCAAAACTGGGATTTTTCACTGTATATTATATTATATTATATTATATTATATAGTCCAAAACTGGGATTTTTCACTGTATATTATATTATATTATATTATATTATATAGTCCAAAACTGGGATTTTTCACTGTATATTATATTATATTATATTATATTATATAGTCCAAAACTGGGATTTTTCACTGTATATTATATTATATTATATTATATTATATAGTCCAAAACTGGGATTTTTCACTGTATATTATATTATATTATATTATATTATATAGTCCAAAACTGGGATTTTTCACTGTATATTATATTATATTATATTATATTATATAGTCCAAAACTGGGATTTTTCACTGTATATTATATTATATTATATTATATTATATAGTCCAAAACTGGGATTTTTCACTGTATATTATATTATATTATATTATATTATATAGTCCAAAACTGGGATTTTTCACTGTATATTATATTATATTATATTATATTATATAGTCCAAAACTGGGATTTTTCACTGTATATTATATTATATTATATTATATTATATAGTCCAAAACTGGGATTTTTCACTGTATATTATATTATATTATATTATATTATATAGTCCAAAACTGGGATTTTTCACTGTATATTATATTATATTATATTATATTATATAGTCCAAAACTGGGATTTTTCACTGTATATTATATTATATTATATTATATTATATAGTCCAAAACTGGGATTTTTCACTGTATATTATATTATATTATATTATATTATATAGTCCAAAACTGGGATTTTTCACTGTATATTATATTATATTATATTATATTATATAGTCCAAAACTGGGATTTTTCACTGTATATTATATTATATTATATTATATTATATAGTCCAAAACTGGGATTTTTCACTGTATATTATATTATATTATATTATATTATATAGTCCAAAACTGGGATTTTTCACTGTATATTATATTATATTATATTATATTATATAGTCCAAAACTGGGATTTTTCACTGTATATTATATTATATTATATTATATTATATAGTCCAAAACTGGGATTTTTCACTGTATATTATATTATATTATATTATATTATATTATATTATATTATATTATATTATATTATATTATATTATATTATATTATATTATATTATATTATATTATATTATATTATATTATATTATATTATATTATATAGTCCAAAACTGGGATTTTTCACTGTTTGTATCCCTCCGCTTGTCCGTGTTTGCAAGTTCCATTTTGAAATTTTTTTTTTTTTCATTGATTCCTTCTGCAACTAACTTGGTTACGCTAATAGGTGATGACAAGTGAGGGTTTTGTATTGAATGTCTTTTGTATAAATGAGTTACTGAATCATTCATTCATTTACTCAAGTTACTTAATATTACTCAAGTTAATCAATATTGTATAAACCCATACCAATCAATATAGCAATATCACACTTTTGGTGTTGCCACAGAACACACAACAGTATGTGGAAGTGGAACAACATCATATTCATCTCCTTGTTCAATAAGTTCTGTAATCATGTTGCTACACTTCCACTACACATTTCCTATTTCTCACTGGTTAGAGAAACTCCACTCTTAGAGTGAGAGAAAACACAGACACACTAAAAGTGACACAAACAGTAAAATATCAGTTTTACTAAATATGATCACTGTTGTGCCTATATTATATTATATTATATTATATTATATTATATTATATTATATTATATTATATTATATTATATTATATTATATCTGTTGTGCCTGTATTATATTATATTATATTATATTATATTATATATGAAGTCTAATATAAAGGTTATAACTTTTTATTTCCTCCCAGCATTTACAATAGATCCCTGTCTCTTCTGTTGTTACAAATTGTGTTTTTACACAAAGTGGAATATTACCACAAGAGGTCACTGTCTACAAAGTTTTAATCATTACATGTAGTGGCGCTTGTGTTCATCTTTGCTCAGTCCTGTAAATCTTGGTTGCTCGTAGTTCTAGGCATTTTTATAGGAATTTTCTTATTTATTTCAGGTTTTTCCATCCTTGTAGCTCTTTTTTAATCTTTTTGTTTTGGGATATTCTGAAACTGCCATTAAACCTATGCCTTTTACTCAAGTCTTTGAATCTGTCGAGTCACAAGCAATTCAAAACTAATGCCTACACTTGGATTTGTGAACATGTGTTTGAACAAGAAGTGCTTTCAGACTTTTCTTTGAATTGACGATAACGCGACTCGGCAAGCGCAAAATTGTATTTATTTATTTTACATGTTGAATTTCGCCGTTTGGTTGATTGTACGGTTAGCTATAAGTAAGCGACCTTGTCTACGTGAACTGGAGAAAGATTTAGAAGTGGTTACTAGAAACTAGCTAAGAAAAATCGCGTTTTAAACAAATAATGTCTCACTTACCGGTGGGCAACAGCCTTACATGCCATCTGTCTCGATTTGTAGACTGCTAGAGTGAATGACATAATAATTCAGTGAATTTACCAAGTCACCTCTTTATTGTTGTTGGCTTATTTTGTTGCCATGACGCGCTGCTAAATGGAGTAAATGATATCATCATTTCATCATAAATGATATCATCCAACGCAGCCCACTGAGACTACAAACGGTGATGAATTGTTTGTTTATTAATTATTTAATTATTTGCATAAAAACTCTACTGTAGCCAATTCAAACAAAGTAGCATAATCAAGTTTCAACATCAAACAAGTTAGCACAAATTCTAATAATAGGAAAAATACAACAATAGAAAGCTAAAAATGAGAGAATTAGACATAATAAACATAAATATTTATTTACGAGCTGAATATGCATATGTATACGGAAGTGTATGTTGCTTAGACGCAACAGAATGCGTGACGCACGTCAACAGGTGCTTAGGGGCTGTAGCGCATAGACGCAAAAAAAAAAAAAGTAGCGCATAGATTGCGGAGAGAAGAAACACTCTGGAAAAACTTGAGCCCCGAGCAGCAGGAGAAGCAGCATCAGTTCAAAGTATTTCATTTTCTTCTGCCGAAAGTTAATAACGAGTCTGCAGATTTTATTGGCGCTATATGAAGTTCTACTAGGATAATGAACCTCGTACATTTACATTTAGTCATTTAGCAGACGTTTTTATCCAAAGCGACTTACAAATGAGGACAATGGAAGCAATCAAAATCAACAAAAGAGCAATGATATACAAGCAGTGTTGGGGGTAATGCATTACAAGTAACGCGAGTTACGTAATCAGATTACTTTTTAAGTAACTAGTAAAGTAACGCATTACTTTTTCATTTAGAAGGAAATATCTGAGTTACTTTTTCAAATAAGTAACTCCAGTTACTTTGTTTCCATGTATTGACTGACAGCTCTGGTGTTGCCATGTTGAGAGAAATCAGGAGTAAGTGCAGAACGTTGTGTGTGAACATGATCTTACTGTAGTTCTAGACTAAATATGAACATGTGCCTTTTTTGCTTTTGTTAATCAGAAGTCAGAAAGTCAGAATTATAATTATATAATAAATAAAAAGAAAACAGATGGAATAGAAAAAGAATAGAGCAAGCTAGTGTTAGAGGTCTTTTTTTGCTTTTGTTAATTGTATAATAAATGAAAAGAAAACAGATAGAATACAAAAAGATTAGAAAGCAAGTGTTAGTGTTTTTTTTTTTTTTAAGAAAACAAGCAGCAGATGAATAGAGTGCAAGTCTAAAAGGGACGTTTTTTTAAAGAATAGAATTAGAATAGAGAGTGCTAGAGTTAGAGGGTCAAATAAAGATGGAAGAGATGTGTTTTTAGCCAGTTCTTGAAGATGGCTAAGGACTCAGCTGCTCGGATTGATTTGGGCAGGTCATTCCACCAGGAGGGAACATTTAATTTAAAAGTCCGTAAAAGTGATTTTGTGCTTCTTTGGGATGGCACAATAAAGCGACGTTCACTTGCAGAACGCAAGCTTCTAGAGGGCACATAAGTCTGAAGTAATGAATTTAGGTAAAGGGGTGCAGAGCCAGTGGTGGTTTTGTAGGCAAATATCAATGCCTTGAATCTTATGTAACTCGTAACTCTAAAGAAGAGTGTAGATAGATAGATAGATAGATAGATAGATGCCATTTATTAAATAAATTGTAGGCTATGGGAAATGTGATTGTTTTTTTGTTTTGTTTTTTATTTTTTTCTAAAGCAAAACCCAAATTGTGTGTGATCTCACATACTCCAGGTCAAGACACGGATAACTAATGAAAAATATTTATGAAATGTTACAGAGTGGCTTCTTAAGGTCAGCCAGTTTTATTATTATATATTATATTATTATTTATGTTTGTCCATCAAGGTCATGCAACCTTTATATATATATATAAATATATATATACATTCTCTCTTTCTCTCGCTCTCGGTCTCTGTTTAACAGGAATGCATTTCTGAAAAGGCCTACAGATATTCGT